GTGCCACCCTGTGGGTTCCAAGTGCCTCTCTATCCCCAGGGAGCAGCGCGGCAGCGAGGCCGCAGCTCTGGACGCTCTCGTCTTTGGTTTCTTTGATGTTGTAAAAGCAGTGAAATGGGACGGTGCAGTCACACCCTCGCCGGTCACTGCTTTATCCGGGTTCCTTTGGTTTAGAGGCAGAGAGCGCCTGTGCCTGGGCTGTGGGGATTGCGCCTTGGTGGCTCTGAGCTCACACTCGGGGCTGCAGCGCTCTGCTGTCTCTTTGCAGGTACAGCCTGACCGTCTGGACCGCCAAGGACGACAGCTGCTCCACTGAGGACTTACTCTACATCAGGGACTGTTTTGACAAAAAGAAAGTGTTCTATGACATTTTGGAACCACAAAACCGTGAATTTAAACAAGCCATTGGAATCACAGCTAATCTCTGAGCAGATTCTTCTCAGTTGTTTCTGCCTTGGCTTCCTAATCCCTCTCTGCTTTGGCCTCAGTTAATTGATCATTGGCTTATGCTTAGTCATCCAAGAGGAAGGGTGCGCCGCATGCTCCCATTAGACACCAGCCCTCCTGAGACTGAGCTCCCTAGAGGGCCTGGGAGAAGGGGCTGCAGGGCTAGTGCAGGGCAGCCGGGGAGCGCTCTCCTCGGTGGGGTCGGTGTTCCTTGTCCTGCCCGGTGCAGCCTGACCAAGGCTTCCCTGCTTTACTGAAAGGTCCCAATGTATGCATTTTCCCTGTTGTTAACAGGCCACTTTCTCCCATCAAAAACATTGGTTTCCTGCAAGGAGCAGAGCTTTGGTTCAGATTGCAGACATTTCCTTTGCAGCCCTTGCGCGCTGGAGACTGGCACATCTTCAACACGGTCTGCTTCAGCTCAGTTATCCTGAAAGGCACAGAGGCGAGAACTCACTTGTGGAATGGTTGTGAGGACTGAGCCGGATCACACAGTAGCGATACCTGTTTCCCGGCCTGTCACATGGGGTGTGGGCAGCTAGCAAGGGCGGCTCCTGCCGGGCCAGTGCCAGGGTCATGGACACGCACTCCGACAGTGCCCACGCAAAGCCTTGTTTCCCACGTCAGTGTTTGTCTGGAGTTGAGTGTAGAGTGCTTTGTTAGGTTGCAACTAAAACTTTCTTTGCTGTGGTTGTTTGCCAAACGCTAAAGGACAATTTTATTTTAGAAGACGTTTTAACAAATACTGAAAAAAATAAAATTAAAACTATAATAATCATCCACATGGCTGACACTGACAAAGGTTCTACAATCTGCGGTACAGGATCTCAGGATAAATCCTGAGGGGATTTCACTGACCTTCTCAGACCCAAAAGCTACAACTCTTGTTGCACAGGTCCTGCTTTACCTTGGTCTTAACCATCCAGCAGAAAAGTACAAAAACGAAGTATAAGAAGTAAAGCCATGTGTTATGTTATATTGAGCTGTAGGGGACTCAGGTCAACAATTTCTGACATTGCCAGTGAAGAGGAAGACCCAATACTATTATGGACTACTGAACTCTTTTAGAATATTTTGCTGAGTTTACACACCTATAGTATTTAAATGATGGAACTTAACAAAAAAAGGGAATACAGATGAATGTCCATTTTGTATCTGTGTATTCAAAGTGGTTAGGATAGATATATAGTTACATTCTCTTAATGAATAGAGGGATTTGTTCTAATGGTGTTTGTAAATAGAATATCAAGTCCGCATCTTGTACAGCAATTAACCACTAGGAAGAATGTATGCAATGTGTTAGTTATTGAAACTGTCCTACCAATTTGGTTTGAAACTGTCTCATTGCTATTTGTTTCTCAATAAAATTATGCAAAAAAACTATAATAAAAATACTTGTAAGTTTTCTACTATGACAGTATATTACTTTTCTAAAATGACTTTGATTAATAAATGAATTGCATTTCAATGAAATTTTATTTTATTTTTCAAATTTTAGTATAGGGTCTCACTACGTAGATTGGACTTGCAGTGATTCTCCTGTTTTCAGCCTCCCAAGCTCTGGGATTACAGGCGCATGCCACTACGCCCAGTCTTGAGATCTTAAATAAAATTTGTGCAGAATAAATTGTTCTTTAATTATTCTTCTCTTGATGATATTTCAAAAATACTCAGAGTGTTGATTTTTTTGTTTGTTTGTTTGTTTAAGACAGAGTCTCTCTGTGTTATTCAGGCTGGCCTAGAACCCATTGTGTAGCTCAAGCTGGCCTTAAACGTGTGCAATCCTCCTACCTCAGCCTCCAAGGTGCTGGGATTACAGGTGTGTGCCATCACGCTTGGCTTGTGTGCTCACAGTTTATATATTAACATTATGGTGTAAATTTTTATATCAAGAAATCTGTAAGCTGAATATCATTTAGGTTAAGATATAAAAATATTTTAAATTAGTCTCAAGGAAAAAAACATAAGAACTGTTCATTGTATTCTGTTGAAAAGTGAATTTTTAGCAGCTGTCCAGATTGGGGGGACATACGCTTGAGACCTGCCTCACGCCGCATACAAGTAATCCGTGATATATCTTAAGGCCTAAGCATGAAAGCTAAAACTACAAAGCATTTGGAAACAAATAAGAAAATACTTTCATGAATTTGAAGTAAATTAAGGTTTTCTGTTACCTAGAAAGCACTAACCATATATATATATATATATATATATATATATATATATATATGAATGAATGGCCTTTATAAAAAATTTTAAGTTCTCAGAAAATGCAAAACACCAGGGATACGTATCTGATAAAGTTCTCATATTTAAAATACGTGGAAAGCACCTGTAAACTGTTAAGGAAAACCTAATGAAAAAATGAAGAAAGAGGCGCGAGGCCCGCCACTGGCCTTCGCTCGCCTTCCCCATCGTGTCTCCCGTTAGCTCCCTGTGCCAACGTGGAGGAGAAGGGGACTCGCAGACCGCAGCTGGTGAGAGAACTTGCTGCATAGCACCACGAGTTTGCACTGCTGAAACTTGGCAACAAGGGAATGTGGACGACGCCGTGCAGGGTGAGCAGCTGGGGGGGAGGGGGCACGCAGCACACCGTCCGGCCTGCCGAGTGGGAGCTCGGCAGGCAGCAGCCCAAGTGCGCAGCCAGGCACACTGAAGGGGGCCAGGCCGGGCCATCTGGGCTGGGACTTGTGGCTCTGCTTCAGGTGATGGCCGCGCTCTGGATCTTGTTCTCAGGCCGGTTGTTTTGATGTGTGGGTAGCCTTGGGGCATAGAGATGCCAGGAATCAGCATGAGCTGTGCCCTTAGAAGGCCTTCTCCCAAATGACAGGACATGGTACTAGACCTCTAGGTCAGGGTTAAATCCTACACTACATAAAGTTAAAATGCAATGTGGAATATTTCAACACACACACACACCTGGATCCTGGTGCACACCTGTGTCTTACCATTACACTATCAATAGTACATTCCACTTAACAAATGTTCATGCCTGACCATAGCTCCTGACACCCACAAAAAAAAAAGGGGGGGGTGCTGGGGAGATAGCTCAGCGGTATAAGTGCCTGCCTGGCAAGCGCAAGGTCCTGAGTTCAATCCTCAATACCACAAAAGGAGGAGGAGGAGGAGGAGCAGGAACAGGAGGAGGAGGAACAGGAGGAAGAGGAGGAACAGGAAGAGCAGGAGGAGGAGGAGGAGGAGGAGGAGGAGAAGAAAGAAGAAAGGAGGAGAAGGAGAAGACGACGACGACGACAACGACGACTTTGGTTTGGACCCTAAAATTTATTTTCCATGTTAGGATGAAGATAGTTTTCTATTTCTTCAAAGACGCGGTAGCACAACTTTTCTTGAAATGTTGACATAGTGTTAGTGTTTGGGAATTAAATAAAAATCAACAATGATCAACATGATATTTTAAACCTTTATTGATTCCATTTTGTTCATTAACTAAAGCTATTTACATGTTCTTCCAAACCTTATCTTTACAACCTGAAAACCAGCATGTTTTTGGTTTTGATTTTATGTTTTTTGAAACAGTATCTCACAAGTAGTTTAGGCAGCCTTGAACTCACCAGTGTAGCCCAGGCTGGCCTTGCACGTACAGCAGTCCTCCTGCCTCAGCCTCCCAAATGCTGGGACTTCAGGAATGTTTCCCCATGCCCAGCTACCAGTAGTGTTCTTGGCAAAAGCATTTAGCTATTTACAAATGCCTAGCACAACTTTAAGTTCTTGGCAAACAAACTTCTAGTGTAATTAATATTATGTATTTCAAAACACTCAAATTTCAAATACTTTAAAAAACAGAAGCCACAAGTAACTAATTACTCTGTACACTGCAACTTGCTGCTATCGAGTGACCAGGGAAAGCATCACGCCGAGCGCTGGGACTTCCTGTACCTAGCGAAGGCCCAGAAGCCCGCCTGTGTGAGCGGCCTCAGCCCGAGAGGCCGGCTTTTGTGTGGCGTGTCTACTCTCCGATTTCAGGCTGGCAGACTGAAGTGCGGCTTATTGGCATAAACGCTGTACTTTGCAGCTATATAGATAACAGTCATTTTTCAGTATTTTATAATAGAAGTTGTCAGAAGTTATTCGTAAGTCCTAAAATACTAGATGACTGGAACGTCACACTCCGGATGTTACCCTTATTATGTGACTTCTAATAACTACCTGTCAGAAATGATATTGTGTAGTGCTGACCAAATACTTGCTACTTTTGTGATTTTCTACTGGCTTTAGTAATTTTAGCTAACCTAAGCTAATCTAATAATAAGACTTTTTAGTGAGGCAGGCATTTAGTTTCTATTCATGACAGATCCCAAACCTTTTTGGTTGGAGGTGATTTTCTTTCTGTTTTTATTTGCTTCTTTTGGGAGCATGAGCATAATTTAAGAAAGGGGAATGCTTTTTAACTTTTGTATTACCTTGTTACAGAAAACCTCTAACAAGCTTCCTGATATAATAATAGGAGTTAAAAGATACAGAGGAAGAACAACCCCAAAAGACAGCAGTGTAGGTGGGTGCGCCTAAGGATCAAAGCAAAGCAAATAAACAACAGGATGCAGTCTGGAGCAGGCAGCCGGCAACTCTGACCAGGGGGATAATTTAACTGAGATCCTATTTGCAGACTGCACTGCCTCTAGCTTTTGACCTTTGGGTTTGGCCTGCCTGCTTTTAATGTTTGTGAGGAACTTGCTCATCTTCTGCTGCTTAGGCTTAGTGATGGCAGAACATTTATAGCTCTCGGGTTTTCTTTTCTCGTTGGGTGCCATGGAAAATTGCAGTCTTATCGGTTGACTTGAAATGTTTAAAAGTTGACTTGAAAATATTATTTTCTAATAAAATATTAAGCCGAGCTGACATTTTAAGAAATTATCTCTAACACAGTTGACCTTTCGTTGCTGAGTTTTGTTTAAATGAGAAACTTGGGCCACATGGAGGCTTATGATACTGGTAGTTTTCTGAAAATAGCTTTCATTTGGGTTCAGAGAACTCTCTTAACAGAACCATGTATTATTTGTATGTTCGCATGGCCTAAAACCAAACGCATCCTGCTCCGACCTGCCTGCTCGCGACTCTGGCCACTGCTGACTAGGAGGACAGCCGGGCGAGACTCCTTCCTCAGACCCCGACCTCTCTGATGCGGACCTTTGGAGGTGCCGTGTCCTCTAGCTCTCTCAAAAGTTTACTAATTGCTTGATTTGTTCGGTTTGCAAGGACTGTCTCCTTAACAGCATTTTCTTGCTTTTGAATTCTTTAGGGAAAACGGGAGCCGCTGGCACGAGCACCCTTTGCCCGCAGGCGAGGAGGCCGCAGAGCCTGCTGCCCGCGTGCCCGTCGGGCGTGGGCGTGGGCGCGAGCGGCGGCAGGAAGCCGGGCCGGGGCTGCGCGGGGCACAGCTCCGCCGGGAGCGCGCCAGAGCCCCGCCGCTCGAGGACCACGTGCCCGCGCCTGCCCAGGGGCCCCGGCGGGACGCTCTCGGGCGGCAGGGTCTTCTTCTTCCCCGCGAGAGCCCTGCTGTCTTCCGGGGCTGCGGGCACGGGCCCGGCCGACGGCTGCGA